GTAATTTCCACTAGAGAAGGAACATATTTTGAACAGCCTTAAGCTACTGGTCTTTCCTCAATGTGTGATGATTGAATGCATGAATAAGATGGGAAATACAAAGACATAATTGAAGAAAAATGTGAGCATCACTTTGTCACACTGCTCTAGGCTACCACATAACTAGGAAACTCAGTCGTTCAATGCACAAATTTTTGAGCAACTGTTCTGTGCCCATGACTCTGCTAGGTACTTGGTAGATATCAGTGAATAAAGTAGAAAAAAACTCTGTCTTCAGGGAGTTTATATTCTGGTAGGGGTAGTGGAGGGACAGGAAATAAAAATACACACATGTATCCATACAAATGTATACACTAAATATACACGCACAGCATGAATATATATGCATGGTGGATATGACATGTTATAAGTGGTACAGAGAAACACAGAGGAAGAAACAAGAGGGATAAAGTGGTGGGTGGGCAAGGTGTATGGAAGTTAGGATGGTCGGTGAAAGTGTTTCAGAGAAGGTACATTTTGAGAAATGACCTGAAGGAAGGGAGGGAAGAGACTCTTCAGGACAACTGAGAAAACAGAAGAGCAGAGAGAAATGGAAGCAGGTCTGTGGTCTTTACGAAACACCTCCCAACTAGTGGATGGAAGGCAGGAAAAAGAGGGGATAGAGCAGGGAGCTAAGGAGGTCCTGTGGGTCTTCCTAAGGAATTTAAATTTATTGGGGCTGTGATGGAAACCTTTGAAGGGTTTAGAGCAGAATGACTGGAACCTATTGCTGTTTCTCCCAGATGACTCTAGTGATGGTGTGGAAGTCAAGCACGGGGAAACAGACAGACAGGGAGGCTGGATGAGGTTCATGCAGTACTGCATGCCAGGGGCAATGGCAGTTGGGAGGTAAAGAGAAATGGTTGGCCTTTGATGTGTGCTGGGAGAGAGCAGGCTTGATGGCTCCTGGAGAGAGGACTGGGCTGCAGGTCCTGGGTGAGGAAAAGGAACGGCCTGGTAAGCGGGAGAGATGCCTATTATGTATGGGCATGGAAATTTGGGGTGGGCAGGTGGATGTCAGAGTCTGGAAATCCAGAGAGAAGTCCAGGATAAGAAAGCAAACAGGTCTCATTCCATTCTAGAAGTGGATCATATAGGAACTGCTTTCCAAATGATGGCAGTTATTGGGATGGCTTGCTTTTTCTTTATCTCTTGTTTTAACCCCATTAATAAGAATTAATGGTTTCTCTTTTCCTTTCCCTTAACTTCCTTCCATTAGTCACTATTTACAGAGAAGGCTGATATGAGAGTCTCTTCTTGGACTGAGTCCTTTGTTTGTGATAACCTTACTAAGCTTAGAATCTGACTAAAAGAAGAAGTTATGTAAGACATAGATTGATCTTTTTTATTTGAGCATGTCTGAATATAAGTAGAAAGAGAATGTTACAAACTAGCATATTCCACATGTTCTTAAATTTTTCCAAACTTAAGAAAAATGAAGTCTATGAATGTAGCAATTACAGTGATAAATGGATAAATGCATTATGACCCCAGGCAGATGGAAAATCATTTATAATGGTATATTTTAGAAAACGGATTAAGCAGTCACACTGTGTTAAAAAGGTAACTCAGATGTTATATAGTTGTGATTGTATCTTTAGCTGTATAAAGCGGTGAAGACATTATTTTGCAGTGTCATTCTAAAAACAGAGCTACAGAAGTTTTAGAATCTGCCCTTCCAAATAATTATTTCTGAGACAAAAGAAAAGCCAGAGAAAAATGGAACTACTTTGGGTCATCATAGAAGATGATATTCGATCAATTGCTTTTCATTAGCAGGACTGTCTGTTTGGCAACTTGGACTATTTTGCTTCAGGTATTTTTTCTCAAGGTAGAGAAAAAAAATGATTGTCCATAGAAACAAAGGCAATGAAATAAATGGTTTATAGTCAAATGTAGAAGAATTCTAGGGTCATTTATTTTATAACATTCCGGTGTTATTTTTACCCAAGGGCTTATAAAACAACACATGATATTGTTCAGTTTCTCCACAATGTTTTATTCTACTTTACATTAAATAATGATTCTGCATTAAATGTCCTGCCCTGCTTGGGGATAACTGTTGTGACTCCAGAGGTCAATACACAGCATGGGCCATCAATTCATCTGAACGACTTAAAACACACCGATACTGAATTTGTAGTCATTTGTCTTTAACTTTACATGGGGAAAACAATCTCTAGCTGCAAAATAACAACGGAAGCTTTCGTTGATCCCCTTCCTTACAGATTTTCATATTTTGGAGTTAGAAGGGCACTACCGGATTATCTAGCCTCATGGTTCTCACACTTGGGGTTGCTAAAATTGTATTCTGCCGAGGAGAAAACCAAGGAAAAGAAGAGGGAGAAGAAACGATGTCTACTGTTTACCATCATTTAAAAATAGGCCCTGGCAATTTAATAATCCCTTGGGATTGAGAAGATCCAATCTCAGAATAAAGGAGAGGCCGGCATCACTCAGGGAGAGCAAGGAGGACTGCATGGGGTGTTCACTAAGCTTATTGCAGACGCCCTTCTGTTGCATGATGCCCCCAATTATGTTGCAATCTTTTCAAAGCTTAAAATAATTAGAAATTTAGAACAATAGGCAGAATTAATACCTTAATTATCTTGGAGATTTTCTGAAAACATTATTAATCAATAGTGAATGAGCCTGATAAAAAAAATAAACTTCTATGTCATTTAATTCTAAGAGTGAATGTAGGAAATCAATTGCCCTTATTATGTAGAGGGCTGAGACATCTCCATAGCTTATGCCACCACCCCACCCTATGTGATTAAGTTTATGCATGTTAAAGATTAATGTGAATTACTAAGGGTTAATTGGTACATGAAATCAGGGCTGGCTGAATAAACTGACCAACATAGTGATTCCAGAGCAAAATTCACAAAAGTTTCATCAATTCCATCGAGAAGAGTAGAACAGAGAATGTGTAGGGCTTTTGTTCCACAACAGGGAAAATGAACTTTTTATGTGTTTTCCCTTTTCCCTCTAATAGGTAAATACGTGCTAAGTGCTTGTTAGTTTGGGCTATCTGAGGATGAAGAAGCGCAACGCGTAATCCCTTGCAGGGCGGCAGCTGGGGAGGGGTTCCCTGAGGAGAACTCTGCTCTCACAGAGTTCATCTTGGACCAAATGGATAATCAAGGCAGGTCTAGGAAGGAAATGCACACTGGCCTAGAAGGAGATGTGCTAAGAGGCTGGAATCTGGACCATGTGATATATCCAGACATATGCGCTGTTTCTTTTCTTTTTTTTTAAAGATTTTATTTATTTATTTGACAGAGAGAGACAGCGAGAGAGGGAACACAAGCAGGGGGAGTGGGAGAGGGAGAAGCAGGCTTCCCGCTGAGCAGGGAGCCCGATGTGGGGCTCGATCCCAGGACCCTGGATCATGACCTGAGCCGAAGGCAGACGCGAAATGACTGAGCCACCCAGGCACCCCTGAATTGTTTATTTTCAAATGAAACAATGGGTTATCTGTTTTTAACCTAAGTACCAGCTACCATAGATTGGTATAAACTTTCTTAATGTTCAATTTATAAAATCCTTACTTACTCTTGCTATTAAACACGGTACATCTGACATCATTTCAGCACTGTCATGATCTAACTGCTATCATGATATCAGCCTTCCATCATTAAACCTCAAGTCCCTTGAGGTCGTCTGTCACATCCTTCCTTTTCTCTAGCCAGGGCTTCTGTCTCTCTTCCTAGTGCTTGGTTAGCCTTGGATCGATACTGCTAGAAGGCATGACTCCTTGCCTTGTCTGGTGGTTTTGTTCCTTTGCTTCTTTTCAAACACCTGAATCTCTGGGTAGTTTGCCCTCTGTGGTTGACCAGAATCTTGAGCAGTTTCTAACATCTTCAACAGGGTCCCAACAGGAAACAAAGCCACTCTGGAGGAGAGTCATGTAAGGCAGGATTACTTACAAAGGGGCTGTTTGTAGGAGAGTAAATCCAGAGATGCCACCAGGCATAGTATGGGAACTCACGGCATCCAGAATTAGAAGTTAATGATAAAAAATATTAAAACTTTATTATTAAAACCCTTCCTTTCTTCCTCTGCTCTTCAGTTGTTTTCTGCCTTCCTTTGGATTCCATCCTTATTTTTTTAGTCCAATTTAATTTGAATGACACTTTCCATGATTATCAAACAGAAAGTCTAGTGAAAATATTTACACATTGATTTGTGTGTGTGTGTGTGGGGGGGTGCCTAAGGGCCTGAGTTAGTCAGAGTTTAGGGAAACACCCACCTGGGTACAGGCTGATGGAGCTTGCTGGTCTTCATTTAGTGGGACAAGCAAAACCACAGAGAACTGTGACAAAGTAAATGCTGTAACAAAGGTAGGAACATGGCACCAGGGAAACAAAACCAGGGAAGAGCTAACTGCTTGGGAGAGTCTGCGAAGGCTTCAAAGGCGTCGGGGGGAGGCTCCAAGCATTGCTTAGGGGTTCTGCATTCAGTGGAAGGAGAGAGAACACTTCTGGTAGTGAAGCTATTTTATTCTTCAGACCAGTTCTTCAGAACATTTTAATAGGAAAATGATAAGACCAGACTTCTATATCCCACACATCAATCAACTGGTGTGTGTGGTATATACAGGAATGACGAGGGAAACTGGGATCAAAACATCTGACAGGGGAACAGAGACCTTCTCCTTATAGGAGAAATAGGAAGGTCCAGCCTCACAGTGACCGAGGAGGACACAGCGTGAAGATCAATTTGAGATACTTTTGGGAGATTCATTTAAGAGACTGTCAACATGACGTTCTTCCCCAACATGGGAAAGCCAGTGCATATTCTTTCTTTCAGAAAATACTTTTGGAGGTAGAAAAGTAGCAAGAGATGAAGTGAGAAAAGCAGTTTATAGAATTACTTCTCCAGAACCCATCCATTCTCTCCTCTGTGTCCCCCCAATTGACATATCAATCCTCATATAAAAAGAAAGAAAGACTTACAGACAGAGTTTTTATGGCTACTGTCCTTGCTGGGCATCATCTTGACTCCTCTTGACTTCAGTTCAATTGCCTTTTTCACTGAAAGAAACCAAATAAAGCCATTAGTAGGTAAGACTCAAAGAGATACCATAAAACAGTGCTTTATCCTCACAGCATTTCCAGTCACGACTGCTTGCCTACTAAGCTCTGGAAAACGGGACACGTTCTAAGAGGTTAATAATGCAAAGAAAATGAAGTATAAAAGCTTGTGAATAATTAATGCAAGGCCATCAAACAGCAAGATCATATCTTATAACAGCAGTGTCAGAAGCTAGAAGTAATATGTGATACAGTTTACCTTCTCCATCTGAACTTATTCACCACTAGCAATGGCAAATCTAGAGATCATGATCATTCCACCAAGTACTCAGGGGGATTGCTCTCTCAATGTATGTGTAGTGACTATAGAGCTTTCTAAATTTGCTACATTCAGGATAATTTTTAGAAATATTCAATAAAATGTTAAATAAAAGAATGCCTATCCTTCCAGATGCTTATTACCTATAGAGAGCATTAAAATAAAAAGCATATATGAGATTAGTTTCCAAAGTCATAGTTCTCAGGCTTAAATTTAAGTAATTTAATTATTGTCTGTCCTATATGAGACATTTAAAGAAGTTTCACTTTTCTGGCCATTTATGGAATAAAAAAGTGAGGAGGCATTTATAGGAAGAAACTAGAAAATAATATTTTAATTTAAACATTTAATGTTTTAAATATTAAAATTGTATTATTGTAATTTACATTAAAATATTTTAATAATATTTATATTAAATAGATTTAATATTTGATTTAAACAGTTATGATTTACATAAATGAGCCTGGACCTAGAGTAGCTGAAAGCACACAGACCTGAGTTCGAATCTTTGCTAACAGCTTGGTAGCTATGTGGTCTGGATGTTACTTAACTCAGAGTATCTGTAAATTGGGTATGGTGGTTAATTTTATGTGTCAGCTTGACTGGGTTACAGAGTGTCCAGATACTTGAAACAGTATTCTGGGAGCTTCTGTGGGAGTGTTTTTCAAATGTGATTAACATTTTGATTAACTGGGGCACCTGGGTAGCTCAGTCAGTTAATCGTCCGACTCTTGATTTCAGCTCAGATCATGATCTCAGGGTCGTGAGATTGAGCCCCACATTGGGCTCCATGCTCAGCATGGAGTCTGCTTGGAATTCTCTCTCTCCCACTGTCCCTCCTCCCATTCTAAATAAATAAATCAATGAATAAATAAATAAATAATCTTAAAAATGTACTCAACTGAGAAAGCAAATTGCTCTCCCTAATGTGGATGGGCCATATCTAATCAGTAGAAGGCCAGAATAGAAAAAAATGCTAACATTCTCCTGAATAGGAAAGAATTCTTCCAGCTTGCCTGCCTTCATATTGGGATATTAGTTTCTTGTTTTTTTTTTGTTTTGTTTTGTTTTTTCCCTGCTTTAAAATTAAAACTGAACCATCAGATCTTCCTGAGTCCTGAGCCTACCAGCCTTTGGACTGGGACTACAGCTCCTAGGTTCTTCTCTAGCTTACCCACTCACTCTGTGGATCTTGGGACTTCTCAGCTTCCATAATTGTGAGAGCTAGTTTTTTATAAAAAAATCATACACATCCTATTCATTCTGATTCTCTTGAGAGCCCTAATACAGTGGGCATGCTGATATCAAAAGCAGAGGCACGAACACTGTGTTGGAAGGTTTAGATGTTCAGGGTAGTGGACGACTGTGAATATAGTAGACAGTCCATGATGGTGTTTGCTATTACTTTCCTATCTCTGTGGTCACATGCTTGCCCTCACTGTGGCCCCAGGAATTGTCCTCTGGGATTGTCCTTCCGTGGCTGATGTCACTGAACCTCTGTTCTCTCTCCACTCTGCCACCATCTGGCCACTGGATTTTCTGATCCTCTGGCAGTTCTGTGCAGCCCTGCTTCTCAGAGTCCCACATCCCACTTCTCACCTCACTCTTCACAAGGACGTTGGCTAACAGCTTACATTTTGGGAAGCCTCTTCAAACACTATGGTTTTTAATTCTCCCACAACTCAGGTATGTCTTATGCAGATCTTTACTCATATTAGGAAACCAGGAAACCAAGGCTCACAGATCTGTTGAAAGTGCACAGGGGGTAAGATGTGTGACTTGGATACAGATCTCACTCAGAACCCAAGACCCTCTTTGTGCTCTGCCAGCTCGAGTGTGGAGGGCACAAAGTTAGAGACCCCCTAACAGGAAGGAAGCTAAACAATGAAGACAGCCTTGCACCTGGCCTTCGAAATCACCTGAGTGTCACCAAAGTTGAAGGAAAAGCATAGTCTATGGACACTTTTACTTTTTTTCCTTTCTGAAATAGAATAAAAGCTGATTCTCCCTCATTTCCCACCTTCCCCTTAAAAAGCAAGATTTTACATTTGGGGAAAGAGGCAATCCCCCCATGTTGGCATCGACAACACCTTTCCAGGTGGAAGGCACCTTTGGAAATACCTCCCCAGAGGACAGAATCACAGGAAGTTGCTTTGGAAGGAATGGGGAGTGCTGGCCACTGAGCAAATTTAGGATTTAGGATTTGGGAGTGGCCAAGACAAAACTGCCATCAAATGGGTAAAGTGAGGGGTGGCGGCTTTCACCAAGGCTGAGATGCACAACAACCCCAGGTAGGATATAGTGGCAGGGAGCTAGACATTTAGGATCTGGCCACTACGGCAATGAGAACGAGGCAAGGTCAGCTCTGGTGGTGACCCTTGATGGGCTATCTACAGGCTGCTGGGACAGTAGACATGGGGAGTGGGGTACAGGTGGACCGACGAGTACTCCTGCAATGGGGACGCACCAGCCTGAGATCCTGCGGGATGTTGTGTGACCCAGTGTGTGGCAGAAAAGGGGAGGAACTCGGGAGGAACTGACACTGGATGTCCACCAGCCAAGAGGAAAGAGGACTCCTGTCAGATATGATTGTAGGTAGGTACAGTCACTATTGACCTTTACTTTGGAACCACTTCATCACCATTATACCAACACAATGGCAAGTTGGTCCTATGTCTACCTAAAGGACTCTTGAATCATTTTTTTCAAAATGTTCTTATTCCCATGATCTCTTTTGATGATCCTACATGTTTACTGGGATATGGAGATTGGAAGCCTTCCCCTCTTGGCATAATCCAAAGGGGTCTGGCCTTGAACTTTGAATCCTACCCCACTCACATGATCATGTAACCTGATAAATCACTTAAATATCATAAACTCAGTTGTTGAAACTTTTCAATGAGCGTGAGTCCCTTTCCTGTGAATTTCACAAGGTGAAGTGGGGGGGGGAGGAAAGTAGTTTATAGACTTTGAAGAGCTATTCCCAACAGTGTGGATGAGAAAGGAGGAAATTAGCCCACCATGTTTATGTGGCTCAAGGAGGTCATTACGGCCAATGCCCTAGTCAGACCATGGGACTCCTGATGGTGCAGCCATTCCTGGTGGACGTGGAATGTGCCACAAAGATGCCCCTTCACGAAAGGACTGGCCAGGGGATAGTGTCTGCTGTCAATCTCTTGTAGGGAATTCTTAGCTCCAGACAGCCACCCCCCACCCACTGCGGTCATACTTCCCGGGACAGACCACACTAAGGACTAATGCACAAGAATGTATACAAGTCCAGAAGGAGAGTGACAACTGCAAGCACCCTGTGCCTCCCTGAGGCTGTTTAGGACCTCCAGGAAATGCCCAGGATTGCTGCTTTCTCCTCCTTCCAAGAATGCTAACCCCAAAGGGTATCCCCCACTGAGCATCCTGCTCCCTAACCTCCAACCGTCCAGGGGAGAACCAAAGGTAGGCATCAGGAGTCAGTCTTCTCCTCCCTGCTCCCTCCTCATCTGCCCTTTTCCTCATCCTTAGCTCTGTGGGGTGGGAAAACAAAGTCTAGCCCCTGCTCTTACCACAGTGCTGTTGGCTGCAGTGATCTGGTCTGCCAGACTCCCTGAAATGATGTCTCAATTTGAACTGGTGAATGCCTTTGTGTGTGTCACCCATCATAACCACTCACTGTCTTGTGCTGAAATAACTTTGTCTTTAAGTTACTCAGGAGAGAGGAGATGAATGCACAATAAATAATGAACAGAAACATCAATGGGAAATAATAAAGAGCATAAAACTAAAGCAAATATCACCCAAAATAAACAGAACAGAGGACTCAATGCACTCAGTAAATAAAGAGAAATAAAAAGAGTAGCTTTCAGGGTATCTAAATATACAGGACAGATCTGGGAGTCTGATAGATTCTGGAATTTCTCAAATAAGTATATGTAGTTGTGTGAAGCTAAATCCACCACAGGCTTTTTTCTTTTTTTCCCAATAAGATGGTGATGCGCTGCTGAAGATGGTCTGCTGCACTCAGTCCCGATTTGTTTCAAATCACTGGGTCTTCTGATTACACAGCACTGGTTCTTGGCAACACTGTCAAGAAATGCACATTGACTTGTGCATCCTCCAAGGCTCCCTCCTCTCATGGTCCCCTCTTTGCCTCCATCCAGGGTCCTCCTACTCCTCCCCCAGCTCCCAACAGACCTGGACCCTCACCAGGAAAGATGCAGGAGGTGAGGGAGAGAGTAGGGCAGGAAGATGGGGGCTTCTCCAGAAAGATGACTCACCCAGGACAAACTCTGCCAACAGCCTGAGGTTGTCTGTGGATAAAAGTGTTTAGCCCATTCATTTTCAAGTCTTAGAATGAATCATCAAATCACATTTCCTGATTGATAACAATACTAATTCTTGGGTCAACCGTAGATGTATGGAATCAGAAACTCTGGAGCTAGACCTGGTCTTCAACTTCCATATTTTTAGCACAGTTACTCAGTTTTGCTTTTTTATTTTTTATTTTGTTTTCCTTCCTCTTCGTTAGTTTATTTTTGGGGGGAAGAGGCAGCTGGATAAATGCTAACATTAGAGTCTGAGACTCACTGGTCTATCTTGCTTCAGAACATTTCTCAGTAATTCAGATTCTATGGCCTCAAATAGATATCATCAGTCCCTCCTTTCTTTCTTTTTTTTTTTTTAAAGA